TCCATTTTCCACCAGCCAACCCTTTGTCCAGAATCTTCAGGCTGAGAAACTACTTTTCTCTGCTTTTCCCAGTGGGTGAGGCCTTGAATCAGAGCCAGAGGGACTCCAGAAATTCTATCTTAGTCACTTTTCTCCCCATGGACCCCACAGCTGGCCAGAGAGGGAAGTGGAAACTCCCTAGCGTAGGGGGACTTCTAACCTTTGCTCTCTGTGCAAGGACAAGGTGGAGACTCAGCACAACTCCACTCCCTTCCTTTCCCAGCCCTGTCCTGGGATGAAAGGGATAGAAGAACAGTGCAGGGGGCAGAACTGGTCTGGGGAGTCTGAGGAAGGTGTGGAGGTTGGAGGAAGGGAACTGACAGGTAACATTAACAGAGAACTACTGAACTCCAGTACCCATTGCAGACTTTATTTGTTACAACCCCAAATGTCATCTTAACCCCCAAAAGGTAAGAACATTCTAATTCCTACTTTACTCAGACTAAAACTAAGAGTCAGAAAAATAAAATACCACAGGTCATTTTAGCATTTCCCAAAGTTGGCATATCCAGGTTCAGACCCAGTGGATGCTCTTATCATTTCTATCCCACTTCCGCCTGCAGACCCACTGTACTGATCCACTCTTCCAGAAGCATAAGGAATCTTGAGAGCCCACAAAGGCTTATCCTGTAGCCATGGAATATTACACCACAAGATCACTTCATTCTGGTTCAAGGTACTCCTGCTATCATGTAGGAACAAAGGCCAGGGAAGTTTAGCCTAGTTTCATCTTCAGGAACTAACAGAACCAAGATTCAGATTCATGTCTTTTGACACCAATCTCTACCATTTCTATGCAGTTATCTACATTAACAACAAATAGCTTTCATGGCCAGGTAATTATGTCCAAGTCTACTCCAAGTCCCGAAAGCACAGCTGCCTCTTTCTGTCCTTGATGGAGTGATGGAGTGACAGAGTGGGAAGGGAGAGCTCATGGCCCTTCTGCTATAGGTGGAAACCCTTCTCTCTCTGCAACATCCCACCTCCCCCTTCCCAGACCCATGCTCCTTTCTTTAACAAATATTGTGTAATGCCCTTGTGCTATGTGGAAATGAAATTCTTGGTTAACCTACACACACAATTTAAAAAAATTAATAGGGTGCCCTAAATGTAATATAAAAGAGAAATCAAGTAGAAATAATTTCTAATAAAAATAACTTATAATAAAATAACATGTTTACATTTATAAACACTCGCCTGTGACTACACTGAAAGACATAATGAAATAGTCTGATGCTTTCATTTATGCATAAAATAGCCATGGTCTTAACATCTACAAATGTGGACTAATTTGGATGTTTCATTAGCAACTCAAAGGCCAGGAGAGGGGTTGCCACTGGTGATATGATTTGTTGAAACAACTCTTGGTAAGATTCCAACAACACAAAGTGAAATCTGCCCTGGATTTACATGGTGGTTGCATTTGCGGGGGATGGGAGGAGGAGCATATATTAAAACTGCTCCCTGTTCAAATGCTTTGTGTGCAAAATAATGTGGAGTTCAGTTCTAGGTTTAGATTATTATAATGGGTTTTCATCTGTGTGGTGTCTGGTGGGATAGACAATGGCCCTGTGGGATGCAGAACTGTCCCATGCGCAGCCCTGCACCCTCCCAGTAGGGGCCTATTGCTTGTGATGACAACCAAAAGTCTTCCCACTAGTTTCCAAACTGCATCCTGAGGGACAGTACTGTTCCCATGGAGAACCACTGATCACATTTTTAAGCTTTACTCAAAGATTATATCCCAACCTCTTAATATCTTTCTAAGGTATTCAAGCCCTGGAGTTAGCTGTGGCATCTGGATGGAAAAGGCAGCAAGCAAGAGAAGGTGGAAAGATCCAGAATCAGTTAGGAATCCAGGTTACACTGCTTACTGCTGTTTCCAGGTCTATCTGGCACATACTGGGTGATCAACAAATGTCTGTGCAATGAAATTATTAGCTGTGTGGCTTTGGGAAAAACTTTTAAGTTTCTTGACCCTCAATTATTCCTTCACAGTGAAATGATGGTCATACTGTGGGACTTCAGTTTAAGAAGATTAAATGAACAAAGATGGGAAAGCCTGGAGATGTGTAGAATGAGCTCGACAACAATGAGTTGACAACAAAAATCAAAGTTCTGCTATGATCTGGCTGGGATGAAATTCTGGATCATGGAAAAGCTAACAGATGAGTGTTTTCAAATCAGCATCTGACTAGACTACTTGACCTTTTGGATAGGTGGTTCCTTTCAACCTTGAGACTCAGCAATTCTGAGGCCCTTGCCTAGACAGAGCTGGTGGTGAGAAGCCATGTTCCCACCCACGCTTGCCCAGCACAGGCCAGTGCCTCGCACATCCCTGAGGCCCTCCAAACATTCCAGGAGAGTGAACTCCTTCCATATTGCTCCTCCACCCTGTTGTCCAGGTGAAGGAGAGAAGCAAACATTTACTGAGCACATCCTACATATCAGGGGTTTTATTTTTCCCTAAGCTATGCCATTAGATCTTAAGTTGGGATGAGGTGGGGAGCAATATCCCACACATGAGGGACTGGGGCTCAGAGATGGCGAGTGACTTGCCCAGGGTCTCAGAGTGAATGTGGGGTGGTGCCTCCTGGGGCTAGATTTCCTTCTACCACAGTGGGGTAGCTTGACAGAGGCACATACAGAGCACCGTGGATATGTCCACCCCAGCCTGCCCACCCCCCACTATCCAGCTCTTGGGATTCACCAGGCACAGAGTGAGGTTCCTCTGCTCCCCACCACTGGTTCTGAGTACAGGGTTAAGATGGACTGGGAGAGAAGATGGGGAACATGTCAGAAGGCCTTGAATGCCAGTGATACTGGGGATGGACTGAGACTAAGACAATGAAAGATCTCAAGCAGGCTAAGAGATGCTCAGTGAGATGCTCTAAGAAGACTCTACTCACCAGTAATAGACCAGGAGACTTCAAAACTGTTCAGATGGCTGCAAGGGTTCTTCTTGATTGTTTCTCTTGATCTCTCACCTCCCTGCTCTTTCATTCTAGCAGAGCAGCTCCCATGGCACAGGGAGGCCCAGCCATCTCTCCCACCCAGAGTATGGTGGCCCTGCCAGCCTCTAGATGTTGGGGTCTATGGACTCTCTGTCTTTGATTCCTACTTTGACTTTGCACACAGGTGCTCTGTGTCCCAGACTAATTGACTCAAGAGCTCTCCTTTTATCTTTATGGGGTTGGGGAGTCCAGAGAAGTAACAAAACATGAGCTAGAGTCAAGGGATGGATGGTGGGAGCCATGTGCAACAGAAGAGGTTGTGACCCCCAAAGGAAGGGTAGTACATTCATAGAAATATCAGGCCCCAGGGGCAGGTCACTTCTGATACTTCTCCTACATTAGTGGGGGTCAGAGGACAAAAGCCAGGTTGGGTGACCCAGAGGCCTTGGGACAGAGCCAGCTTGCCCTTAAGGGTTGGCATCCCAGTTTTGAGCACTGCTGAGAGGGCTGGACAAGTTCTTCTCTGCTGGGGGTGCCTCAGAACCCCTAAGATGAAGTATAGTCCCTAAGAGGCCAGGTCCTGTGGATTCCTTTGATGATGACAGATGCTTTCTTTGTTTTTTTGGAGAACAAGCAGAATTCCTTTTGAGCAAAATTTCCTTCCTCCATTTATTTATTTACTTTTTGCCCAAAGATTCAGAGAAAAAAACCTCAAAACCAGTCTCCAATGGGAGGCAGGAAGAACCAAACCTTCAAACATCAGTGATCCTGTGAGGTTTTTGCCTTGTGGAACTTTCCTTAAAATAACTCCATCAGGAGATTGTCCAGGGAAGAGTGGTGGAGGGAGGAGACCTGAAAGCAGACTGCTGGGGGCTCCTGAAGGACTCAAGTAACTGGAGTGAGGACTCTCAACCGCTGCTCCAGTCCCTTTTCTCCACAGCAAGGGTTTACCATTGGTTTTCGCCACCTTGCAGATTCTAGAGGGTGTCATCTTTCTGAAGAAGGAATGGGTTGGGGTCTGAACTCTACCGTGCAAGACAAGTGACTTGAGGGACAGGCACTATGGTTATAGCAGTGGGATATGAATTGGAACCTTCTTGCCCGTGTCTGTATGTTCTTCACCCATGCTATAAAATATCCCAATTGTTGATGCAATGCTTTGGTTCCCTTAATTCAGTGGGAAAAACAAAAAAGTCTTTAATGCATCTAAACTGGAATCAGGCCAACAAGATAAAAAAGTTGTGGCAGAAATAGTGCCAGACTGGAAATTCAGAAGATGTGGGTTCTATTTCAGCTTCGGTTTATTAAGCTGTGGGACCCTGTGTAGATCACTTCCTGAAGGACACAGAAATGCCCAGGGTCAGGAAAACTTGGTGTTTGTAAGCAGCAAGTTGGGTCAGACCTGAGAACAGAGTTGCTGATGGGCAGAGCAAGGTGGGGTGGAAGTCCTTGACCGAGAGTCACTCAGACTTGGGGATACATCCCATCTCTCCATGACTGGCTGCATGATCTAGGGCAAGTCAACTCTGCATCTGTGAGCCTCAGCTTTCCCATCTTTAAAATGGGGGAAAATAGGAGCACCTGGGTAGCTCAGTTGGTTAAGTGTCCGACTTGGGCTCAAGTCACGATCTCTTGTTTGTGAGTTTGAGTCCCATGTTGGGTTCTGTTGCTGACAGCTTGGAGCCTGGAGCCTGCTTCAGATTCTGTGTCTTCCTCCCTCTCTGCCCCTCCCCCACTCATGCTCTGTCTCTCTCACTCTTTCAAAAATAAATAAAAATTAAAAATAGTAAAGTAAAATGGGGGAAATAGTGAGCCATCTCAAAGGGTTGTTGGGATAACTGGAAGTGAGAGAATGCACAAGGAAGTGCTTCGTAAATGGGAAAGCATAGGACAAATATGAGGTATCTTACTCTAAATACTTAGAAGGAAGGAATATTAGTCCTCAGAGAGCCCAAGGTTAAATAATAGCAGCTACTATAACAAGTATCGTTACGGAGTGTTTACTCTCTGTCACCCTAAGTACAAATGTATAAACTAACTTAAGTGTATAAACTCAATCTTTTTTTTTTAAGTATATCACATACACAGTAAATTGATACAGTGCTCTCATCTTAAGAGTACTGTTTGATGAATTTTTACATTTGTATATACCATGTGAACTCCCTGAATCTTCACTAAGAGCCCTACACTGCTTATTCCCATTTTACAGATATGCAGACTGAAGCACACTGAGATGCTAACACTGTCTGCATGCTGTTAGCCACACAGTACTGCCTCAGGGATCTAGTCCATCAAGACAGTGGCTGAAGTCACTGAGAAGTCCCCAAGAGGCCACTTGAAGATTCTGGCTCAGGGGGAACTTGGTATTCATTTGCCCAGGTGAGGAAAGCCCAGGGTCCAAAACAGAGGGCAAGGAAATGAATGCAGCTGAAAGTGGGAGGGAGAACAAGGCTTAGGAAAGCAAGTTCAAGTAGTGGGAACAGAATGTGAAGCAAGAGGATAGTGGCTGCTGATGGCCAGGGAGGGTTTTGGGTGACTGATACCCCTAAAATTTGGTGTAGAAAATCTAGTTCTTGGGGTGCCTGGGTGGCTCAGTTGGTTGAGCATCCAGCTTTGGCTCAGGTCATGATCTCTTGGTTTATGAGTTCAGGCCCCACGTCGGGCTCTGTGCTGACAGCCTGGAGCCTGGAGTCTGCTTCAGATTCTGTGTCTCCCTCTCTCTCTGCCTCAACCCTGCTCATGCTCTATCTTTCTCTCTCAAAAATAAGTAAACATTAAACAAAATTACAGAAAAAAAAAAAAAAAGAAAGAAAGAAAATCCAGTTCTTGATTAATTTTTCTGGTGAACTGGCAGAGACATGGATCAAGTTCAGAAACAGAATTTGTCCCTTTCTAAGTGTGCATGGTCCCTGGCAGCTGAACCCTGAGCAGGTGGTGCTCATTTCCCTGGGGACAGTACTTCTTCCCAGAGCTTCCATTACATGCCCAGTAAAGAGGCAGGCCAAGGCTGGGGTGAGAAAGCAAGTCTGGGAGGCACCCAATCGCCCCACCACTGGTGATGGAGGAATTGGCGACCTGCCCCCAAATGATAGGAAGTGGACAGAACCACAGTGGAAGGCAGCTTGGTGCCTGAAAGAGCTCTGAGCTGGAGGGCAGGAGGCCCTGCTTAAAGTCCTGGTCCTGGCTCTGGCTTCACAGAACCTTGTAGTCATGCCCGATCTTGGGGAAGTCACATCTCATCTCTGGACTGTGGAATCAGAGGCATGAAGAAGATGACATCTGTGGCTTACACTTTAAAACATCATGAAATGTTTATGTTGTGATTGGAGAACCCGGTGAGGCTCTGAACGTGGTGACTCCAGGGGGCCCAGGTTCACCTGCTGCATGAATACTGAATGGGCACTGGTGGTGGATGGAGCAATGGCAGGCATCCATCAGTTTGGCCTCCTTAGCATTCCTGTTCCTTGGTCCTCTCTCCTAAAGGCTCTCTCTTAGAGGCTCTACAGAAGTCCTGAGCTCATGACTGTGATAAACATCATCTCCTTATTTGGGAGGCAGGAAGCTGCTCCTCACCCCCACCCTCTTCTGTCCACTCCCAGGACTCCCACTCCACGCCCCCCTATTCAGTTTCCTGCTTCCTGAGGGTCTTTGAGCTGGTGGGGGGACCAGGATTACAAATGCTCCTCACTGATTTGAGAGCCCAGCAAAAGAGCGTGGCTTGTGTGAGCCAGAGGGCTGGAATGAATATGCCGAGCAAAGGGGAAAGGCGGCGGCCAGGGTCACTTAGAACAAGCCAGTCCCAAGAACCTAAAATTAGCTCTGGGAACTGGAATGTTAGGGCTCCAAGGAACCACAGCTGTGAAAAGAAAGCACGAGACAAGGAAGGAAAATGCACCCTGCCCACACCCACTGCACATTGCTCGCCCACACCATCTGCCCTGGGGTCTCCACAGCTTTTAACCCACCCCCAAAATATCTTGGGCCTGGCTCACCAGGCCAATCAGTGGGAATCCCCCTCCTCCCCGCTGTCATTCTCCTCTCTGGAGACCAGAGAACAACATGGCCTTGGATCCCTGATAGAACAAGGTTTAATTGGAAACAGGAAAGAAGAGGACAAGTTCGGGTCTGGGGTGGTGACCATAATGAGAAAATGACAGGCCCACTGAAGTGGGAGGGTGACAGTGCTGGAGGGTCACATGGCAAGGAGGGCCTACGGGAAAGACCCCTGGGAGAGCTGGGCACGTGGGTGACAGCAGGCACACTGACCAGGGGCAGCGACTGGAGAAAGGCCCGACTCCCTAGTTGGGGGAACTGGGGGCTGTGCACCCCTTTGCATACATACAAAGACTGGGTATTTTCTTTTCTTTCTTTTTTTTTTTTGAAAAGACCACACATTACTGAGTGCGTGATCCTGTATTTTTTTTTTTAATATTTTTATTTATTTCTAGGAGAGAGAGAGAGAGAGAGAGAGAGAGAGAGAGACAGCGTGAGCAGGGGAGGGTCAGAGAGAGAGGGAGTCACAGACCGAAAC